ATCCGACTCCAAAAATCTGCTCTTTGCGTTTGAAACCGCTCACTTCAAAGCAAAAGACAGCAACCTTATCTTACAACCACAACATCCGGCCATCCATTACGTAAAATATCAATAAATCAAATAATTTGATAAAGAACAAGAAAAAAATCTAAAAAATGACCATCTCAAAAAATAAGATGTGATGGATATGAATTTTAGAAAACGTATTTATAGGAAAGTATTCAAAAGTGACATCCCAATTATCGTCGTCATATTTCACGCCATATCCTCAATCCCATTGAATATAATTTTCACAAACAGTTATGATTTAGATCATCTTACCTCCACAGAAGATCAAATGTGTGATCGAAACAATGACTTCTTTTTGAGGTAATTATATTATCGTTGGCATCTTTGTCTTCACCATTTTTCTTATCGGCGTTGTCATCATCGTGATCTTCGTCATCCTTTGTTGAAGTGCCACATCTGTTGTTGTAAACCTTACACGAACCATCAGCTCTGTTGATCATGATGTATTTGTTATTCTTGATTTTATCTTCATCACTTCCTTCATCATTTTCGTCATCAATTTCTTTTTGTTTTTCCGATTTGTGCTCAGGTCTTGGGATGATCACTGATTTTTACGTGAAGTTATCAAACCACTTCAATGACAACATTAAAACTAAAATTTAAAAAAAATCAATTATATAGACAGAAAGCAGAAAAAACAATCTGGGAAAAAATATGAAAAGATCAAATAAGAATTCTTTCATTTCTTTTATGTCACCAAAAAGTATCAACAATCTCCACTTCAAAAGTTATTTCACGTAATAAGTATCAGTACATTCACAATAGTACTTTAGCTGTTGTAAATAAAACCCTTCTAATCACATACAATAACCAAACGACTAATAACGTAATAAACCAATCAAAAATTTAACGAGTTTGTGGCAGAAAGAGCAAGTTAGGCATAAAATGAAGTATGCAAATGCATACAAGTAAGGTTCGCATGCAACAGAATACACGCACACAACAAACCGATGCAGTTGTCGTTAGCGATGATGTCTGCAGAGCTCAGGACGTCCGTCGTCACCAACGAGTTGTCCGCTTTGAAGAATGTCTGATCCCCGCTGGCTGCCACCCAGGTTGCCTTCCTACCGTGGCCTTGACCTATCGTCAGATCAATCATCAAAATGACCCATCAATAGTTCATTCAACAAAACAATCATTTTGAAGTTCTTGCTACAAATTGTGAACTGTTGATTTGAATTATTTCACAAGCACCCAACAGATGTCTTAATGTAAGCATAAAACACGCTGAACGAACACTGGAAGAATTTTGTTTACACAAGTATTAACAATTTTGTTATTTCATAATTTTAGAATTCTAAATGAGTTACAAACACCTTACATACAATTCGATTTAAAAAAAATACAAAAACAAAAAAAATAACAAAAGAAATTATAAGTAAAGCAACATGTGCAGTGCATAGTGGTATGAAAAAGCAGCAACACGTGAAACAAAATGGCAACAACGTCATGACAACAACAATAACAGAACAATATATATTAAGAGATGGCACCACCAACAAAAAATAAACCAACACAAATTTAGCAAATGAAATTTGAATATGATAAATGAAGTAAAATATTTTCAATATGAAACTTTTACAGGACAACATTAGGAAGAACACTTCAAATAAACAAATTTTATGACGTGACAATCACACTCTAATATGAAAACCCCAATGTAACAAAAGAACAATAGCAAACAAAGCCTAACGTACCAATATGAGGTACGGCTTGAAAAGTGAGAGCCAACTCTTTGTTGTTGTCCGTATTTCTTCCAAGTTGGTTGTTCTAGGATCAGGCGTTGAAATTCATTCATAAATAAAAAATCGTTGAGAAATTCATTTACAGCTATGAAAAACATCAAAAACAATTAAAATGGAAGCAGAACAATGACACAACTTGCAGTCAAACTCAACTGAATAGTAAAACAAATCAAGATCATATCAAAATAAAAAAAATGTAACAACCAGACATGACATGAACACAAACCTTATTTGAGCCGCAAGTTAATATCTCGCCATCTGTGTTCAGTAGGACAGAGTGGTAGCTACCTGACGATATTTGCTTCACTCTTGTTGATAACCTTACCTTTGTGGGCACACCCCTATTTTTAAAGTGAAAATTTGTTTTAGGTTTATAAACAATGGCAGCTGGTTAATTGACCTTGTTGAGATTTGATCAAAGCGGTCCAATTAAGCGGCTGGCCCAATCGTTTGAATTTGAAAAATTTAAACGCAGTATTCATCATCTATGAGACAATTAAGTTGAATTAGCAACTGTAGAACTAATTCGGAAAGATGCTATAAAAATAACTAAAATTTTATATTGAACAATAATCCAAAAATTGGGAATGTTGAACTAAACCAATAAAACAGGTTTATCTTCAACCAATCAACAAAATAACTAAACAAACAGCCAACCAAACAATCACCTTACCGGCTAACGGTATCGGCGAGACCAAGCTGACCGAACTGATTGTTGCCAAACGAGAGAACTTTTCCATCAGAAGTCAACAGCACTGCAACAATCAACAAGTACACTTGTAAGATAATTAAATATAATATTAAAACAAAATAATTGCTATCATTAACATTTATTGAATAAATTTGTTGAATGAAAGTATTAAAAAGCTTTTGAAAGAAGGCTTTAGCAAAGAAAACAACATCAAATCCAGCTGACCTGTGTGTTGCAAACCACAAGAAACCTGAGTGACTATTTCATTGGCTGCCAACGTCATCATCACTCGACCAATAGGAAGGCTAGATAATTTTGACTGGTCAAGCTCCAAATCACTGGCCACATTTGATACTTCCGCTAAAAAAAAAAAGATTATAGAATGAAAGTGTATGTGATTGTACGTAATAAACTGAATAACAAGAAAGAGAATTAAAATGCTAAATTTTTTCAATATTCTGCATCATTGCAATACATACAACATCATTATTTTATGAGGCAAAATTAAATTCAATATGTGACCATAGTTTAATTGAGCTTAAAATTTTAATTATTGACAAAACTCAATCACATTCTTACACAGTCAATGAAATATGTCAGCTAAATAAATCAAATAAAAAACCTTTCATGATTAGCGTGTCCTTCGCCTTGAACCTTTCCCTCGTTCTCTTCATTTGCTGTCCCCTGCTTAGTGACCTCCTGAACAATTTTGCTGAAAAATTAAAAAATCAAATGTCAACATATCGACCTATTAACATACCTCACCTCACCACATGCCATGTATCAACATATCACCTACTTATCAATCAACACATCGAAACATCAAAGTGTCGCATATTAACATACCAACGTCACAATTCAACAGAATTCAACATTTCAACAAAATATAACAACATATTAACATACCAACCTTATATTTCAACATACATCACATGCCATATATCAGTATATATATATATATATATATATATATATATATATATATATATATATATATATATTATTGTATTAATTCTACCAAATTGTTGGCATTAATCAACCGACTAGACCGGTGTACATGAATTTAGAATTTCCTTCAATATAACTCAAATTAATATAAACAGGCAAATAACTTGGTTCGTGAGGCTCTTCATTTACATTCGCATCATCAGCATTGTTATCGGCGCTGTTATGCAGCAGAGCATCTTTGGCGCAGGTCCTACAGAGGCCGCATTCGGTACAACCTGCATCGCCCACTCCACAGCCACACAACCTGATGGGTCATCAGTTGAGAGTTTTATGAGGATAACAACTACAGTTCATGGGGTTAACTAATTTTTAAAGTTTATTTATTTTCGTTTTAATGAAAACATGACTCACACAACTTCAAGTTCATAAGTAAGTATTTTTGAAAAAAAATTACATAGGTAACAAATATAACACCAATGAATTAAAACGCAAAATATTCTTTCTTAAAAATAAAAAGTATAAATGTGAAAAGAAAAAAAAATAAATGAAACGAAACTAACTGTCCAGGGACTTTAACGGTGTAAGTGTTGATGCAGTCAGCAGCAAAGCCAGTGCATTGATAGCAAGAAGTGCAGACCTTGCACGCTCCCATCCGCCACTTGTGAGTGCCTCATGGGTCATAAGTGATGAGCAATTAATGAAATTTTTACTGCAACCATCTATTATTATGAAAATTGAGGCAATAACAATATAAACTGAATAATGTTCATTTGCTTAATTGAAAATTCATAGACAAATATGATGAAAAGTATGAGAGGTCAAAATATCATCTGACCATTTTCACATGAAGTTTCTTCTTCATCGGCTGAATCCTCACCAGGCTGGTTGACCTTTTTATCTGCTTGGTTCAGATCAAAGTTCATAGTAAATAAAATTTTCCAAATTGCACAAATCGTATTAACATTTAAAAATTATCTGACTAAGACATATTTTTGACGGTAAACTTTCTGAAAGTTGTAAAAGTTTCTATGACACGCTGGTATTTGAGTTAGAATTATAAATTGTTATATTGAACATTTGCTTACTTGAATATCTCAATGTTCTAATTTTTTTAATACAATTAAACAAGAACTAATTGCTTACAATTGTGTGATCATTTAAAAAATGTGAACATTCAGAAAAGCCACATAAAACATTAGAAATTTGCAAACATAGAAACATAAATATTGATGTGTCTTAAAAACGTTTCAATGTTTTCGACATCCAAATATTTCTTTTCATATCATTCCATGGCATGTAAATTTTTTTATTAGAGTTAAAACAATTTATAGCTGATTTTTAATATTTATTCAATGATTAAAGAAAAATCAAAAATCGGAAACAAAACTAAATACAAATTGTCTCACTATTAGCAATCCCAGTGTTCAAATTGAAAGTTTCATAAGTCAAATTTATCTTTTTCTGTTCTGGCTCAAGTTTCTGTTGTTCCGTTGAAAGCTCATGCTGATTAAAAGATTGTTGAAAGAGTTGTTGCAATTTTTGTTGCTGCTGTTGAAGTTGTTGTTGGGAAAGTTGTTGCTGCTGTTGAGAAAGTTGTGGCGATGGTTGTTGCTGTTGCTGCTGTGGCACAGAGATTCCATCCCTACCACACTGGCCCTTGTTGTTCAGGCCAAATGTGAACACCTCCCCTTGCCTCGTCAGTAGAACGGCATGCGCCTTGCCCATGCTGACACTTACTACATCCAACTTCTTGCTGTCCACCAGCAGACCTACATTCAAAATATTATAAGAGTTGTCGGAGTCTTCATGCATGATTAACAAATCAACCAAACAAACGACCAAGCAATCAACCAGACAACCAACCAATTAATCACAATAAATCATCCAACTAACCAGTTAAACAACTGACCAACCTGTAATATTATCACAATAATAAGCATCCTTGCCAAACATATAGACCTCTCCTTCCTTCGTGATCAGTGCAGTTGTTGCGTAGTTGCATGCAGATGAAACAATCTGCTTGTTTTCAACACGGACCATTCGACGAGGTTTTACTGCTTTTATGGCTCGACGCACTTTCGCTGGTGGGTGATGTTTGTCGTGGTAAAGATCAACCAACATTTGTTGTGGTCAACCAACATTTGTAGCGGTTAATTAATAATCGTTGTGACCAACCGAAATTTGTTGTGGTCATAAATTTTTAATGTCCAAGATAATTACCATTTTGCAAAAAAAAATTATATCAGAATAAGATAAAATTAGAAAGAAATAAAATTAGGAAACGTTAGTTATGGACGATTACTAACATAGTGTGTTGGTGTCTCCATCTTCACCCCGTTTGGCCACCCCTGAAAAATAGGCCACCCCGTCATCAGAAACAAAACAAACATGGTACCCTTCATGACCAACTGACATCTGTACAATCTGAACGGTCGTGTTGTTGTCTTATGTTATTATGATATTAGCCTGGCATAATAGCAACAAGGTTTGGAAAATTTGAAAATAATTTCTGAAAATGTCTTTGATGAATATTTAGTCAACGTTTTTATATTAAGCACATGGAACTTTGTTTACAAAATTTTATTAAATAAATATATGAATTGAAGTTATATATGTATGAATCATGAGAAAAAAAAACATAAAAGTTCATTTAGAAATTAAGAACAACTTTTGGTGATTTGATTATTGGAAGGTCGGTCCATTCAAGACTGAGGGGGGCAATGTTCTTCATGCCCAGCATATGCCCTCTACCTTTATACAGAACCTTACCTGCACAATGCAATCGTGTAACTAGTTCTACTACATTGGCACTACATTCCACAATAAACATGAAATCATTTAAATATTCGTATATGTAATCGTTCGACGAACGTTGTTTTAAAGATTAAATAAGCAGTAAATTAACCAGAAGATAATCTCAACAATGAGAATTCCTTGCCAGCTATCACATCACAGGCATCTTCATCATTCCCACAACCTTCAATCAGTGTTCGAAACTTTTTATCAAACTTTTTATTTCAAAACAAAAACATAATATAGTTTAAGCAAAAATTGGTAAAAAAGAAAAATTGATATGGTGCATAAACATTTATGAAACCTGTTTCTAAAATTATGTTTACATTTCAACTGGAACATGAAAGTTTTTACAGGATAAAAAAAATGTATAACAATCAGATCATTGTTCTACAAAGTTTGTTGTGAATAAATTAAAAGATAGTTTTTAAAAGATTTTTATAGCATTCTAAAAAAAGTTAAGACCATTATCTGAAGATGATGGCGAACCAATAGAATATCTGATTGATCACATTAAGTTGTTCAAAAAGAGCAGGACAACTTTTATAGATAGAGTATGATTGAAAGATTATAAATAGAAATATTTTTAATAAGAATAAAGAACACGATACTTATAGAATGAAGATCCTTGACATGGCTGAATGTAGATCTTCCAAGTGCAAACAAAACTTTCTGAGTCAACTTCAAAATTAATTCTTTGTCAGATGTCAGAGTCAAAAGTTGATTGCTACCGCTGTTGATGTTATTAATGCCGCCGTTGTTGATGTTACTAATGCTGTTGCTGCTGCTGTAATTGTTGTTGCTGTTGACATTTCTATCAAAACTAGTGGACGGTCGAAGCAGATCACGAGTGTCAGGTTTCAATTCAAATTTGTACACTTTGAAGCTTTCCTGGTGTGTGCAAATGTTTTTCAATTACATACAAATTTGAGATCTTTTTGCAGTAATAATATTCTTCAATCAAATTTGTATTTCATCAACACAACTTTGCTGCAACTAACTAAAGTTGACAAAAACTAAAAAAATTATTTTTAAACTAGCGTAATTGAACTGCAAAACTGGCTGAATTGTTCCTTGAAAATTGAACCAACTACCTCATCAGCATGGTGAACGATGCAGTAGAAGTTAGTTCTATCTGAGAAGATTGTAGAGCAGTCCTCAGTCATTTTGCCTGCAGTAGGTTTAGAAATTTACTTTATAACTAATCAAACAGTTTGAAAGTTAACCAAACTGAAATCACAAATAAGACAACTTATAAAGGCAAAACTATTAACATGTTGCAGCAGAAGAAGTATTACAACTATGCAAGTAAGAACAATTAGTAAGTGAATCAATATCAATACATTAGAACTGTTAAAAAGAACAAGATGAACAATTCTACAAAAAAAAACCCTTGACAAAATGTATTAAACGCAACAAATCCAATTAAAAAAACTGATGTGCCATAGAATTGAGGAGAGCGAGTCAGCCAACAAACAACAGTTGAAACTACTGCAACAATCAAATATGTAATCTTGTACAGAACGTTCAGTAGCAACAGGACGACGACGATGATGATGATGATGGTGAGGAATTATTTGTAGAGTTCCTGGGACATATTTTCTTTCAAGAAGATGTACATCAAATACTCAGCTTTTAAAAAACAAGAAGAACAAAAAGTTACTGAAAAAGAAAATGCAGTTGATGGGTTCCAGTTCATTTTACCTTGAAAAGTTACCTCCTGAACGGGAAGTAAGGTGTCCACGTTCACACACGTCATGCGAACATCGTTTCTCTTGCACATTAGAAACAATTTCTCCTGAAGTTTATGAATAATTCAACAGGGTCAAACAAAATCGAGCAAACATTGCCTTTGAAAATAAGCGTAGAATTGAAGTGTTGGCACAAATTCATTAAACAATGATGCTAATGGAGGAAATATTATTAATATTATCGTAATATAATATCATATGAATTAATTATTAAATTAATTTAATACCGAATTAATTAATTATTGAATTAATTATTAAATTAACTAATTAATTATCGAGCTGATAATGAGTAAAAATGCAAATGAAACATGCTGACTATTTAATGATGATGACAATGATGATGACGAAGATGAACGCTGACAACAATGACGAACAAGCCACCAACCTGACAGATAGTCATCCAGGTGCTTGCTGAAGATTTCAATTCAGGATTGAAACCATAAACATGACCCTTTAAAAGAAATCCTCATTACACCCCAATATATACGTTATATTTATCATATTTTAGAGTACAGCTCTTTCATAAGCTTATTTACAATTAAATTTATAACTAAACTTATTTTGAATAGTTATCAAAATTTTTAAATACTAATTAACCCACCAAAAAATGTTATTGCAATACCAGCAACGATAAAATAAAGAAATAACTAACCGGAATAGAAGCAAGATATCCCGATCCGACTTTAAAGAGGCCATAGCAGTTTTGTATGAATAAGAACTGACCACTGCTCGCAATGTTTGACCTGTAGGATGTCGGCCAGTGGTGCTTCAGTGAGTTAACAACTGTGAACGTAGCAACTCTTCCATTTCTTTTTAAGCCCCTGTCAAACCAGGTACCCAACGGGAGTCGACCGATCAGCATGGCATCCACACTTTTGTGCAGTGTGAATAGGATGGATGGTAGCTACAATCATTCAATGTACGTAACGTTCGTCACAATTTATTATTTGATAATAAGTACAATTAAATTTCGTTATTGTAAATGATTGTTCCTATTCCAAACAGTGAAAATCTCAAACCTACAATACGTCACCTATAACAAAAACTGAAAAGTCTTGATTGAAAAATTGTGAGACTAACAATTCATAAAGTGAATGGTGAATTAATTAAAAAGATGTAACAAGCAACTACAAAAAAATTTTGTGATCTACTTCTTAGCAGCTTGTGACACCTACCAATAAAAATTATTTCTCGTTGTGTTTGGAAAAATCATGAAAACTATTTGATGAACTCAATGAACAGGTAAGAGTAAGAATGTTTGATAGCTATCAAAAGTGCTTTACAAATAAACAATAGTGTAAACTTCTTAGCATGACAAGAAAGAATAAAAATGAAAAAATACTTTAATTTGTTGTTGTGCAAATTTGCAAGGAAGTATAAACATGGCAGAGAGAGCAGCCAGTATCATGCCTGTGTCCCCTCTGGCAAGCACCAGAGATATGAGGCAGGAACAGGCCAAAGATGAAATCGTGTCACTGGAATCTCTCGTGTTGTCTGGAGGGGGCTCGTGCACTTGAGATAAGTCCATCAACAAACTGTACAAGGACTCTGTTGTAAATTATATTTCATCGTTAGCTGCTAAAATAAAACAGATAAAAATGACTGGCTAATACAATGACAATAATGTTAACAATAATAGTATGACTGTTATTGAAATTGCAAATTATTGTACTGAACAAACCTGGTAGTATAAACTAAAAATTTGCAACTGAAAAATTATATTGCAAATGCTCTAGAATAGCCTTTTTAAAAAATGTTCCACAATGATAATTCACCAATCACATCCTGTGGTTCCTTCTTGAAACTTTCAGGATGTTGACATTGCAGGATATTGAGAAGAATCTGGAGAGTTCGTGAGCAGAGTGATGGGTGAGCTAGATGGGTCTCTCGAATCAATTCATGTACTCCACACAGACCCATAGACACCATCTGTCAAATTATTTTGAAATTAATTTAACATTAATTAAGTTTCATACATATTTGTAACATGTAAAACAAACTTTGGGAAGGTTACACAAGACCTCCACAATTGAAACATCATCACATAATACATTTTCTACATCTGAATTATCATTGTCATTATATATCTGTGAAGTACGCTGTGTCTTCTTTGTTAAGGATTCTTCAAATAGCTGCTGTCTTATGGTGGCATATACAGAAAAACTGGATGGATTTTTGAAAGTTTCCAATATGTATGCCTCCTTGATTTCCATGTTTTTGTTTTTCCTCTGAACATTATTGTTAGAGTTAATAAATTATTAAAGAAATTTTCATATAATAAAAAATTACTAGTAAACCTTTTCATTTTTTTTCTTTGCATTTTTATTTTTCTCCCTATTTATTTAAAAGTAAATTAACTGTATTAATATTAATCAAATATTTACTACCTTGTAAAATGAGGTTAAAAAATCATCTAAACTTTTTTAATAAACTCAACAACATGGTGGAAAACTTTAAAAAATAAAAAAGGTAATGAACATAACCATCAAGCAAGCATTAAGTAAGATTTATTTTTCAATTGTTTTAATAAAAATAACTAGTAAAAATCATCACTAATTAATATTTAATAATCAAGATTACTTGCTCTATCTATATAAAATTATAAAATAGTTATATTAGTACTCATAGTAACTATTAATTAAAATTAAACAGTTGTTAAAATTAAACAGTTAGATCTAGTTTAGTTTTTAGTAGCACAACATAAATAAGTCATAACATAACACAACAAGTAAGTGATTAGTAACCAGTAAAATTCGTTAGCCACAAATTTTTTTAGAGCTTTTAGTACACTGTTAAGGTGTTTTGATGCTTGGTTTGCATTTACAACATACATGATTTTTAATAGAAGTTTTACTTTTACAAGCAACAAACATAAACTAATAAAACTACAAATTTTAATCAATACCCATCTTGTCCATTATTTTGGCAGAGGAGATACGATTTCCGCAATTCCTTCTGAAGAAATTTATAATCTAGAAAACTATCTGGATTTGAAATTGCAATTTTGGTCTTCATGATGTTTATTGTTTGTTTAAGCTACCCAGTAGGAAGGGTAATGAAAGTGACAAAATTATATAATCTTAACAAACTTATATAATTATAATAAGACCACTATTTATTCATATCGTATTCGCAATACATCTTGGTCAATTTTTCTGGCCTTTAAAATTTAAAAAACCAGCGCACTTTGATTATTTATTTATCGTCCAAGGTAAACAAATGCCTATTATCTATTATTATCATTAGCATTTATTCCGGAGCCGTGCCGGATCAACTCGCTCAAGTTCGCCGATATTATCATCGAATTTTTACATAATTTATAAATCGTAAATATTTACAACTTATTTATCAGTTAAAATACTTTCATCTACAGTTGATATATTTCTACCATATACACTTGAATAGTACACCATGCAGTACACTATAACATTATATTACGCAGTACGCAGTATAGTATATTCTTCTTTCTCGTCCCTTATCCTTTCAGTACATTGGCGACCATCGACCCCCGCAAAAACAGATTTTTTACACTTTGTAGTAGTTGAAATGTGGCGATATTCAACATCTTTTTCAACATAAAAGGAAATTACTACAGATAATTCGACGGGGGCAGTTAAAGTTTTTTGGTCAAACCATGCGGAAGGCAAGAATGGAAAATCTAACAACTACTGGAAAGATTGCAGAGAAAAGAGATCGCGGTCAACAACGAACAACTACGCAGTATATTACACAGTATATTAATGCTTACATGTCGTCATTCTATACTTTATAACCGAACTTTCCTACCACAATGACTGTACTGTCTACATAACACAACATCATATGCATCACACACAAACGGCGTATCAGTATGGTAGTGTTAAAGTTTCTGACATAACAGTATTCGAACCAGACCATCACGCAATAATAGCGCGAGACATGGTAATTACAGTTTATATATTTCTACAGTTCCACGTGTTTTATGTTCTTTATAATGCAAGAAGTTCTGTCAAACGCATAACTGCTTTCATGTCATTCCATACTTTTATTTAAGCTTCAAGCTAACTCACAAAGCTAAAACGATTTTACTTTATGTTATTTACTTAGCTTAGTATATAACATAACATAACCTAACAAAGTATAAAGTGGTTCAGTAGACTAGCATCTGTGTAATAACCACTACAAAATAAATGTCCTAGTATCCTAGCTCTCCTAGCTTAATTTTAAAATTGTTGATTGAATCCACTGAAACAATTTCAGCTCGTTCCAGGCGTTTACCACCCTGCTGCTGAAGAATCTCTGCTTTATTGGATTTTCTGTCTTCTTGAAGAGCTTGTATCTATGACCTCTCAATTCTTTCCTTTTTTCTAGTTGAAAGAATCTGGTGAAAGGTGTTTTTTCTTTACCAGTTATTAACTTATGTCTGAATCAGATCTCCTCTGCATCTTTTCCTGGTTAATCCGCATTCTTTCAGTCTTTCCCTATATTCTAGTTTTTCAACTCCTTCGATCATCTTTGTTGCTCTACGCTGTACCCGTTCAAGAATATCTTTGTCTTTTTGCAGATCTGGACTCCAAACCTGTGAACAGTAATTGAGATGAAAGCGAACTAAGGTTTTATACAAGTTTATAATGATCAAATTCTCTCTGCTCACCACTATTCTTCTAATAGGTACATCCAAGTATTTGATTTGCTTTGGCTGCTGCCGAGTACATTGTCTTGATACAGAAGTGTATTGTAATGTTTCGTAAAATTTTAGAAGATTGGAAGCATTTTTTATCCAACACTTACACTTTTAAGTAAGGGCTTTTTATTGAGCAAAAAAAAGCTGTTCATATGGATCAGAAGCTCAGCCCTCTATTATTAAACTCAAAACCATTGAATTACTCAAAAATACTATATATAATTTTTTTTCAAATCTCAAGTTTCATAACCGATATATAGTAAATCTTTCATATTTATAATATTTGCGAAAGCTAAACAAATTGAAAGTAATGGTAGAAAAGCTTCTATGTCAACGTTCAGGTCAATTGGTCCATTTCAATTCCTAGGAGTTATAATTGGGACAAGCAAGAACATTGAAAAGCATAAGAACTCCACGACTCGCCTGAGCAAAAATTGAATCGATAGCAAACCTACAGGACGGAAAATTACTTTTGTTTTCGTTGAAGATCAATAAATTATATGTAGAAAAAAAACTGGGAAGAAACTTATTGATGCAATGTTCACTATAGAATAAAAATGAAATGATTATTCAAAGCTAAATTAGCGAGAGAAGCTGATCGTTATTATTCGCTAGTGAATATTGTAATGTAATCGGATTGTACGCAATATATATTGTTGGCCTATATATAATTTTTCGTGTAGCATCATGTCAAAACACTTACATGAAAGTTTTTTACTGAAAATTTAATGCAAGTTTTAAAATGTTTTATTTCAAGACTGACGAAATGAAAAAAAAATCGCGAAACACCACGACATGACAAACCTTCGCAAAACAATAATTTAAAAAAATGGATGATTCACTAAAAAAGACTGATATCAATAAAACTGTTTGAAGTTTGTTTCGTGTATTTTCATCATCGGCACGTGAGGAACGTTATAGCTTGGTGCCATAGTAAACAGCTTTTGTTCCAGTATACGTCTGAAGAAACTTCATTAAAAATGTGTCATATATAAATATAAATGGCTTTGAAATTGAAATTTAAAATTTATTTATTAAAAACTTGTGTTAACACGCAGTGTACTTTAAAACAATAAACGTAATGAAAACTTTAAATTGAGCAACTCAATATGACAGCATTTAACGTAAAAAACGCATCTCGTTGAAACTGATCAAACTGTTAGAGCACATCTTAATGACATGAAATGACAAACGCCTACCGCCCGACACGTCCTATCACCACATAAAAACATTTACAGATCAGGTGACGCTTTGAATTGTTGTTTAAAGCGATCAAAGCATTCACACTTAAAACAAGTTAAAAATTACAAAATTAATACTATTTTTAAAAAAATGAACAGACATGTTAGCTAAATGATATGACTGTACAATAACTTTTAATAGAATTTACCTGTCAAATGTTAGTTGCTAATAATATTATAAAATAACCGCTTAGCAAACGAACCAAGTTTGGTTTTATTTTTCTAATAAATTTTATTTATTTTATTTAATGGAACCTAAATATTTTTGAATTATGAAACAATGTACAACAATTTTTATGGTTACGACGCATTTGAACAAAATGAGATGTCATCGGCAGACCACACACATTCAACTTTTCAGAGATCAGAGATGTAAACTGCGCTAAAAAATAAAATCATAGATTTTTAAATACAACACGAATGCAAGCAATAGAAACCCGGTCATTAAATTAATAAAAAAAATTGTTTTTAGTTTTATAACAAATGAATTTTTCAATTATTAAATATTTCAGAATGTTAGTAATATCAAATGACTTCTAAACTTTGAAATATATAATAAGATCTGCTGAACGATTTGCAAGTTTTTTCGTTGATGATTCTACAATGACTTTCAAAATTATTTTGAACAATTCAAGAGCACCATTAATTTTTGTTTCAGACATGTGCTTTGTGCAACACACTTGTTGTATATTGTTATTTCTCATTATTTGCATGAAAGTTATCTAACTTCTAAAATGCATATCGACAAATGTAAGGCTAGAAAACAAAGTGAAAAGTATCACAATAAGCCTGAAAATTGAACAAAACGGCGAATTGAAAAAAAATTAAATTGATCAATTTTTTTTCAAAAACGGAATTATTGTATATTTAAAATTGAGATCTACTAGGAAAACTTATTTTTATCGAGTTATTTATTTATTGCATTTGAACCATTATGGGCATATTGAATCGTTGGTTCCTGGACTTGATGACAAGTCCTGGAGAAGTTGCAGCATCGATCATCTTGAGAGGTGTTGACGTTTTGCTACTGTTGTTTGTTGCGTTTGACGTGTTGTCTGGATAATAAGGTGGTTGCTGAGACTGTTGCAGCTGATAGGGGGAACACTTCTGTTGAGGTGGTTCATTTGCTTGACGATGTTGTAGTTGCTGTTGCAGTTGTTGTTGTTGTAGTTGTTGTTTTTGTTGCTGCTGCTGAAACAGTTGTTGATTAATTTGTTGTAATTGTTGCAACTGTTGTAGCTCCAGTTGTGGTTGTGGTATTGGTTGTATGTTGTGTTGCTGAAATGTTTCTTCTTCATATTGAGGGATATTGCTTCCGCTAGTTTCAACAAAACTTTTTACCCTCTGAGTTTTATTTTGAGAGTTGCGGGAGCGGTCCGATTTAAAACTTGATTTCTGAACCGGAGTACGATGACTGTCTCGTGAATTTAAGCTGTCCGTATTCCTTGTAGAGACCGTGTCTTTGTTTGGAATTAGATTCAATTCAGACGCTTCACTCAATCTGAAAGTGTTAGATCGTTCTTCGTTTATACATCTGACGTCTACCATGCTGCCGTTAGAATTGAACGTGAAAGCAACGTTGCGAGATTTTGGTAACAATTGAGCTATCGTTTGGTTTTTCTTATACGTTTTTGTTTCCGTATTGAGAATTGGAGCTTCAGATGAGGACGATTTATTATACTGGGAGGATCGACTCAAATAAGGCGCTATTTTAGGTTGAGTCATGGTGGTTGAAGTGGTCATGGTTTTGTTGAAAGATTCGAGCGAAGGATCTTCTGATGAGTGCCTTCGATTACGCGTGCGACGACCAGTTGTTTCATTGTTCTCCCTTATTACATAGGAATGTTTTTTTGAAACTTTCTCCTCATCTTCTTGAGAAAACTTAAGAAAGAGGGAGAGATGATCTGGAACTGTTTTCGCGATGGTTGGATATTTTTCGGTCCCGAAATTTTTTTTTACAATAGCGGTGGTTTGAATGGGGCCGGTGTTTACTGAAGAAAATGGTGGTTTGCCTCCGTTTAGGACAGGTTTGTCTTCCAACTCTTCCCTTCTTCTTCTGTATTGATCACCTCGTTGACAGTGAAATCTGAGATGAAAAAGTAAAAAAATTAAGTGTTTAAAAAAAGTAATGCTTTTTTACTTATTTAAAAAAATTGAGTTTTTTTATTTTAATATTTGTTTTTTAGTAAATTTTTGTGCATATTTTTGTTTAGATATTGTTAAAAATTATTGCTATTGTTTATAGAACATATCTTAGTTACACCATCAATATTTAACTTGAATATTAAAGCTCATTAACTAGAAGCAGCGAGGTTTTTGTCAGCGTACGTTTACGTGATGTTATTTTAACTGCAAACATTAATACCTGCTTATTCTTTTTTATTCTTTTTATTCATTTTTATTCTTTTTCTGTTTAATTCATATTAAAATCACAACTGTTTGCTCTGCAACGAACGAGGTGTGGCATGTTGGATGGTGTTGGGCAGACAGGAACATCGTCAATAACAGAAAATAGTAGGTTAAGAAAAAAAATTGGTTGATTTGAACGTTGCTTTTAATGACTATAGAACAATTTCTTATCAACCAATTTAAAAAAAGATTCTAATCAAATAGTTAGAGTGCGAGTTGTGTCATTTGCAACATGTGTGTGGTGTAGTGATGCAGTACTTGTCTGTACCTAAAAACTTTAACGTAAAGAGAGAACGATCTCGGCAGCATTCCACAAAAAAGATGTTCTGTGCTTTATTGAATGATTCGTTTATTGACCAATTGAGGTAGCAAGAAATTTGATAAGTCAATGGTTGGGCGAAAAAAGACGTTTTTCAACTAATGAATGTAATTATTTGGTCTTGAGATGGCAATGTTGACATGTTGTTTTACATTGCGCATATATATTGCATCATGTTTGCCATAAAACCGTCAAATGAGTGAAAGTTATTTTTTTTACCAACTTTAAAAAAAATGTTTAAATGTTTGTTACTGACCTGACAAATGACATGAGAATAAGTGAAAGTAAAACAACGGTGAATATGACGTAAGGCAGCCACAGTAATATATTATAACCGTCGTTGTCATCGTCGTTGTTCTCATTGGAAGTGAGCATGATCAATGTCGTTGTCGTTGTTGTCGTTCGTCTTGTTCGTCTGCGCAGCTTGGTGGTGTTGTTGTGGTTGCCGTTGTTGATGGCCTCGGGGTTCTTACTGGGGGGTGCTGGGTTATTGGAATTCATGAATTGGTTGTTGCTGCTCTGAATGTTGTCATCCTTCATAAAGTTGAAGTTGTTTTTGTTGTAGGCTTCAAGGTTATTTGCGCTACTATTATATTTTCCTTTGCTATCTTTGAGGTTGTTATTGTTGTCAGCGTTGATGTCATCAATAAAATTATTTTTGTCAATTATTTTATCGTCGATGCTTTTGAAACTTCTTTGATCCAACTTAGGACTAATATCAATTGTGTTATCCGAGATCTCGTTGTTGTTGTTGTTGTTGTTGATGTTGTCAGCAAATTTTTCTTCGTCAGCATCGTTGAGCTCCTTACCATCATCACGTTCATCACCAAACGAATCTTCACTAACAGACAGCGGTGGTCTCGAGGTCGACAGTGAGATCGGTGGGATCAAAATCGACAAAACATCTGACGCAAATGATGACGAAGAAGACAACAATGATGGCGAAGATGTTAATGAGGATGATGACGTCATCGATGACGTCGACGTAAAGTTATTGAAACCATCGAGGTTTGTGCGGATGTTTGAGCCGAAGACGAAGGCAGTTGAGATGTTTGCAGTGGAGATGAGCAATAGAAAGCAGATGACGATGGATATCTGGTGGCATGCGATGATATTCATCGGGCGGGGTCCAGAGTCATCGTTTGATTGAATCAGGATGTTGTTGTTGATGATGTTGTTGTTGTTGATGATGTTGATGATGCTACTGTTGTTGTAGTTGTTGATGGCGTTTTTTCTTTTTTATTGTTGCTGTTTGTGTTTTTGAACTTGTTGATTTTTTTGGTAATGTTTTAACGTTTCTGATAATGTTTTTGTTTTAAGAAAAGCTTATTTTTATTTCTTCTTCTTTTTGTTCTTATTATTGTTGTTATTATTATGTGACTTACAATTTAGAGATTATTTTTTTTGTTTTTATAGATGTCTCTGCTGATGATATCATTAATAGTTGTAACAATTTTTTGAAGGGAAGTCAAACTTTGGCTACTTTTCCAGTTCAATTAAATCAATTAATTAAATTTACATGTTTGCCGAAATTTTTTATTGAAAGTTAAAACATGGACATCTAATACTCAGTTAACTTCTTATACATTTTTTTTAGATAAATTTACTTCCAAAGTATCAAAGATGGAAGGCATCTATGCATTCATGAACAGTAAATAACTGGCTGTTAGTAACGAGGTAGTGTTTGGAAACTTGCTCCATAAAATCAAACGGTAAAAATTTCTCGTGGCGATAATGGTGTTTATGATGTTACTGATACTGCCGACGCTAATGATGTTACACATGTTGTTGGAGCTGATGTTGTTGATGTTATTGATGTTGCTGATGATGTTGATGTTGCTGATGATGTTGATGATGTTGATGATGTTGATGTTGTTGATGTTGTTGATGATGTTGTTGATGTTGTTGATGTTGTTGATGATATTGATGTTGCTGATGATGTTGATGATGTTGCTGATGCTGCTGATGATGTTGATGTTGCTGATGATGTTGATGTTGTTGATGTTGTTGATGATGTTGTTGATGTTGTTGATGTTGTTGATGATATTGATGTTGCTGATGATGTTGATGATGTTGCTGATGCTGCTGATGATGTTGATGTTGAT